GTAGAATACGACGTCTGGCTAAAAGTGATGTAAAGGCCAATACTTTAGAGTGAGCAGGGTCAGTTAAAACAGTATTAACTGGGAGCCCAAAGATAGCTAAGAGAGGGTCCAGCAGACCTGAGTTCCTAAAGCTTTGGAGAGAATGGCTGAATACTGGTTCCAAAAGCCATGGAGTCTTGGACACAAAAAGAACATGTGACTCAGGTTGCATGGAGTGGCATGACATCTGTCGCACTGATCCACCACTTGTGGGTAGATCTCAGATAGACGAGACCTGGAATAGTGAACTCTGTATAATACCTTAAACTGAATGAGTTGTAACCTTGCACAAGCCGTACTGCACCGAACATTAGATATTGCTTTCTTCCACTGCTGATCTGATAAAGTTATGCCTAATTCCAGCTCCCATGCCCTTCTAATTTTAACCGCTGACTGGATATCCAAATCTATAAGTTGCTTATATATATAAGATATAACTGACTTTTTATTGGGTTTAAGGGACAGCAGTTCCTCCAATGGTTGGATGTTTGGAAGAAAAGGATAAGAAGGAAAGAGAGCAGAAGTACAATGTCGCACTTGAAAATAGTGAAATGAATGTGTCACTGGAAGATTCGTTTCATGGTGTTTCCACTGTACATAAGTACCATCAGTAAGACCAGGGGGGAATAAATTATTCTTTGTGATGGGCATAGTTACTGATGTGGATACAAACTTAAAATGGCTCCTGTACTGTGACCAAATCTTAAGACTCGATTGTACCACAGGGTTCTTTGTGAATCGAGAGATTCACAAAGATTCACCTGTCCTGCATCTCCAAAGAAGAGGAGATGCAGGACAGGTGTTCTAACTTGCACCACAAAAGTTCTTGTGATTGAAGCCAGTAGGTCAAATTTGTGGATATGAGCAGACCAATAATAAAACAAAGCAAGACCACCATCAAATGTTAGTCTCTGTAACAGTGATTTCCTCACCCTGGGGTGTTTCCCTCCCCACAAGAACGATGTGACGATCTCACCCAACTTTAAAAAAAAAGCTTTAGGCAAAAATACAGGAGTACACTGGAAAAGAAAGAGTAATCGAGGTAGAATATCCATCTTGATTGTATTAATTCGACCGATAACCGACAAAGGCAGAAAATTCCATCTCTGAAAATCTGATTTCATCTGAGAAATCAAAGGGGTGAAATTAGAGGAATACAAAGAGGACAGAGTACGAGTTACATTAATTCCCAAATACTTAAATCCTGACGGGCTAAGCCTAAAAGGAATATCAGACTGTTTAAGTGTAAGACCTAACGAATTTATGGGAAAGCATTCGCTCTTAAGAAGGTTTATTTTGTAGCCCCGAAAGGAGCCAAATTTCTTTAACAAAGAAACAATTGGTGGTATACTACGTAAAAGATCAGAAACATACAGAAGCAGATCATCTGCATATAAAGACAGTTTCAGGTCAAGACCTGATCGTGAAATGCCACGAAAATAAGGGAGAGACCGCAAAGCTATTGATAGAGGCTCAATTACAATGGCGAAAAGTAGAGGGGACAAAGAGCACCCCTGTCTCGTACCTCGTGACAGTGGAAAGCAACCAGAGGAAACATTATTTGTGTAAACACTGGCTTGGGGTGAATTGTATAACAATCGAATCCATGAAATAAATCAGTCCCTAAAACCAAACTTATATAAGTGTCATGTTGGGTTCGAAGCTCTAGCCCACACGCAGAACACAAGTCAGGAGGCAGAGGATCAGGTGAAGGATATTTATTCACAGAGGCACGGGTGGAAAGTGGTCCCGGGGAAGGAGGGGCTCCAGGAGCGGCCAGTGAGCGAGCCGGAGCCAGAACGGGCTTACTTGGCTCGGTTCCAGAGTTCGGCTGGGAGGCCGACAGGGAGGGACACAGAGTGGCTCGGGTCCAATGGGTGCGAAGCCGGAGCCGGAGAGCTCCGGACGCGCTGGAACCTCGGGTGGCACGGGGGGTTCGGGCAGCCTGGGAGAAGTCCAGGTCCTCTGGAAAGGCACCTGGCGGCAGGGAGCAGGAGAGTAAATATACTCGGAGTTAAACACAGAAAACAGAGACTGGCTCAGGAGGGCTCGGAGTTACCATTACTGGCTAACACTCAGGCGTCGAAGATCTGGCAGTCTGCTCCTTAAGTACTGCCAGGTGGGTCTTCTTAATTGGGACCAGGTGTGCTGGGAGGTGTCAGGTGAGGTCGGGGATGTGCAGTTGACCGCCTCTAGTGGCGGAATGGTGAGTGGAAAGTGCAGTGCAGATCAGCGAGCCCCGGATTATGACAATAAGACAGCAAAAAGATAACTCCACTCCACACGATCAAAAGCTTTCTCAGCATCAAGCGAGATAACTACTTCTGGACTAGTGGTAGAGTGTTGGGATCGAATCACATTCAAAAGTGTACGGATATTAAAAAATAACTGCCGACCTATAATGAAACCATTCTGTTCTTCTGAAATAATAGAAGAAAGAATCTTCTCAAGGCGATTTGCTAGAATTTTAGCCAAGACTTTAACGTCCACATTAAGAAGTGAAATAGGCCTATATGAGGAGCATGATGTAGGGTCTTTATCTTTCTTTAGAAGAAAGGTGATTAATGCTTGAGACAATGTTGGGGGTAATGACCCACATTCCAAGGATTCATTATACATTGAAAGAAGTAACGGGGCTACTTTGTCAGAAAAGGTTTTAAAGAACTCAACCGAGAAACCATCCGGACCCGGAGCCTTACCATTGTGCATAGTTTTAATTTCGTGTTCAATTTCATCTAATTTAAGGGGTGCATCTAATTGTTCAGCCATGACAGGGACGACTGTGGGCAATATTAAATCCTTTAGAAAAGAAGCCAATACAGATGCATCAGCAATGGATTCAGATTCATTTAAAGAAGAATAATACTGTTTAAACACTCTGTTCACTTCCTTTGAGTCAGAGACCAAATTGCCAGCCGTGTCCCTAATTTGGGATATCAATCTAGAAGAGGCTTGACGTGAAGCGTCAAGCCTCTTCTTATCACCATGTTCATAATAAGTTGCCCGTGAGCGAAGTAGGAGGCGCTCAGCTTCCACTGTAGAAAGCAAGTCAAATTCGGTTTGCAAATTAAGTAGTTTTTTATGCAAATCAGGAGTTGGATTAATTACAATTTGTCTGTCTATGTCAGAAATTTGTGTTGTCAAATTTTGAAGTTTAGCTTTACGGACTTTATTAGAATGAACAGAAAAAGAAATTATTTGCCCACGCAAATATGCTTTAAGAGATTCCCACAGCAACGACCTTGTGACAGTGTCACTATCATTAAAAAATAAATATTCGTAAATTTTTGTTTTGATAAAGGCAACAAATGTCTCATCAGAGAGCAGCAGAGAGTTAAACCTCCAGGGCGAGGAAAAAGAAGATTGGGCAGTGAGTTTGATATCAACACTAAGTGGTGCATGATCATAGATGACAATTGGATGATATTCAGATGACAATACTTTTGGAATAAGGGAACCGTCCACAAAAAAGTAATCAATACGTGAAAAAGATTGATGTACCTGAGAAAAAAAAGAATAGGCTCTGGTAGTGGGATTAGAAAATCTCCAAGGATCTAAAAACCCGTTCCGGAACATAAACTCTGAAATAGACTTAGACATAGAAGATTGTGTCAGGGAACAGGGATTTGAGCGGTCTAAGACGGGGTCAATAACACAGTTTAGGTCACCAGCAAATATCAAAAGGTGAGTGTCAAGAAAAGGGAGGCTGCTAAACAGTTTATCTGCAAAACCTGGGTTGTCAAAATTGGGAGCATACACATTGACTAACAAGACAGGGATGTTATAAATGTTGCCTACAACAATCAAATATCTCCCATATTTGTCAGCTTTAATCTCCGAGGCTGTAAACTGCACTTTTTTACTAATTAAAATAGCCACTCCCCTGGATTTCGAATTAAACACTGAGTGAAAAACATGTCCCACCCACGGACACCTGAGTCTAGCATGATCCCTATCCTGCAAATGAGTCTCTTTACGTGAGTGACGTCAGACATCGTAGATGTGAAAATATTTTAGATCGTTTAATTGGGCTATTCATGCCTTTAACATTCCAAGTAAAAAATCTAATACCACTAAGATCTGCCATAGTAAATAAATAAAAAGTTTTGTTTTTTTTCCTCCACCCCCATGGAAAGAAAAAAAAGGGGAAAAAAACGCACTCACGCACACACTAGGGATGGGACGGTTTCTGAAAACCGTCCGAACCGTTCGGTTCAACTGTCTCGGTTCGGTTCACGTGTGTTGCGTTCGGTTCACGCACTACTCCTTTTTCTCAGAGGGAAGCGTGTTCACTCCAGAGCAGAAGGGGGCGCTACTGTGCCCAAAGCCAACCACCGGTAGTGAACAAGAAGAAGAAGCGAAGCAGCGTACCGTAGCCGATAAAAATCCGACGCGCCAACAGCAGTTTATAGTTCTGCTGTATGGGACCACTTAGCATTTAGAGTGAAGCACATGTTGACGGAACTAGCACTGTTTCGTCGCTTGCAATGCCGAACCGAACCGAAAACCGTGACCACGAAACCGCGAGTCGAACCGAACCGTGGATTTTGTGAACCGTCCCACCCCTAGCACACACACACAAAACAGTAACGAGAGTACAACATCGAAATAAAATAAAAAAAAACATTAAACACACAACCCCACTCCTTCCCGCACCTCAGACGTCCCTATCCCCAAACGATAGAGACGGCAGTGCAAAACTCCCATATGGAGCAAACAAAACAGAAACGCTCCCGACTACAAAACCAACCATGACTAACGGGGACGCTCTTCCAAAGTAATTTCTGAATATATATGGCACAAGAACAAATAAACAAAAAAGTATTACTTCAAAAAATAAAATAAAACAAAACATGCACTGGCAGAATAACAAATCGTGCGCAGTAAAAATAAACTGGAACTTACCAAAATGAAGACATCAGTCACTATCCTAAATTAAAATAATATCGTCCCGCTGTGCCCTACTGCTGGGTAGTTATTGTCTGGATGTATGCCTTAGCCTTCTCAGGCGAGACGAAGTCATGTTGCACTCCCTCATATGTGATGCGCAACCTGGCCGGGTGGATGATGCCGAACCGGACTCCCTGCATCCCCCGCAGCAGGCGACGAACCTCATTGAAAGCCGCACGAGCTCGTGCCGTCTTAGCAGTGTGGTCGGGGAACACGGAGATTGTCATGATGCATCTTTATCTGCTGCAGCTCCCTGGCTTTCTGAAGAATCTTGGCACAGTCCACGTAATAGTGCATCCTAACTACTATAGCCCAAGGGGGATTGGGATTGGGTTTGGGGCCAAGGTCCGATGAGTTCTGTCCACAAGTGGCTCTTTCTCAAGTTCGAAAGCTTCCAGCAGAAGCGTAGACACGTCTGTGGGAGACAGGATGTTTTCCTCTGGCACACCAACAATGCGTAAATTATTACGACGGGACCTGGACTCCAAATTTTCACGCTTGTTCTCTAGTTTAATCAGCTCCTTTGACATAGTTTCCAACTTGGCTTGAAGTAGGACAATGTCATCCGTGCACACTGAGAGACACTTCTCCATCTCCGTAACGTTGCCTTTCAGCCCAGTGAACTCCCGCCGCAGCGGAAAGTTCAGTTTTTAGCGCTTGTATTTCGGACTTGATTGATGAGAGATTACCTTCGAGTGCGGCGTGTATCACACTATCAAAATTCCAAAAATGTAAGAAATATACATCAAACAGGATTTTTGTGTAACTTCAAAGGAATGATTCAAAACTAGTTCAAATCACTTTGGAAAGGTTCTACATGACATCCCATGACTTCACAACCAAAATCTCACTTGCACTCACTTTTAGTCAAAAGGTATCACACTTTCCGGTAGAAATCCAGAAATAAGCTCCACAAAACAGGATTGGAAGGGTACAAAATCAAATTCCATGACTTCACAATCAAAATCTCACTTGCATTCACTTTCAGTCAAAAGATATCACACTTTCCAGTAAAAATCCACAAATAAGTTAATTTGGCCAAGAGATGCACAAAACCGGATTTTGCTATAACATTCCAGTAATGAATACAATCTAAGTCAATTCACTTTCAAAGTGTTATTTAGCACATCCCTTCCTTATCAGAAAGAATCACACTGGTACGAAATTGCAGTCAAAAGATATCACACTATAAAAATTCCAAAAATGTAAGACATATACATCAAACAGGATTTTTGTGTAACTTCAAAGGAATGATTCAAAACTTGGTCAAATCACTTTGGAAGGGTACAAAATCACATTCCATGACTTCACATCCAAAATCTCACTTGCACTCACTTTCAGTCAAAAGGATATCACACTTTCCAGTAGAAATCCAGAAACAAGCTCCTTTGGCCAAGAGATGCACAAAACACGATTTTGCTATAACTTCCCAGTAATAAATAAAATCTAGGTCAAATAACTTTGAAAGTGTAATTTAGCACATCCCCTGCCTTGTCACAAAGAATCACACTGGTACTAACTTGCAGTCAAAAGATATCACACTATCAAAATTCCCCAAATCACTGAGCTACAAATCAAACAGGATTTTTGGGTTACTTGAAAGTAATGATTCAAAACTAGGTCAAACTGCTTTGAAAGTGTGACTTAGCACATTCCCTGCCTTGTCAGACAAAATCATATGAACAGAATAGAACGGCTACTAACTTAAATTGAATACATATCACTTTCCTGTATGAATCCAGAATCATGCAGCTTTTGCTTAGATATGGACAAAACAGCACATTCCCTGCCTTGTCACAAAGAATCAAACGGATACTAACTTGCAGTCAAAAGATATCACACTATCAAAATTCCCAAAATCACTGAGATAGACAGCAAAAAGGATTTTTGTGTTGCTTGAAAATAATTAATACAAGTTAAGTCAAACTGCTTATAAAGTGTGATTTAGCACATTCCCTGCCTTGTCAGACAAAATCCTATAAAGAGAATAGAACTGCTACTAACTTGCATTCAAAACATATCACTTTCCTTTATTAATCCAGAAATGTACAGCTTTTGCTTAGATATGCACAAAAAAGGATTTTTGGTATAACTTGAAAGTAATGAATACAAACTAGGTAAAATTACTTTCAAAGTGTTATTTAGCAAATTCCCTGCCTTTTCACAAAGAATCACACTGATACTAACTTGCAGTCAAAAGATTTCACACTATCAAAATTCCCCAAATCACTGAGATAAACAACATATTCGATTTTTGCGTTACTTGAAAGTGATGATTCAAAACTAGGTCAAACTGCTTTGAAAGTGTGATTTAGCACATTCCCTGCCTTGTCAGACAAAATCCTATAAAGAGAATAGAACTGCTACTAACTTGCATTAAAAACATATCACTTTCCTGTATAAATCCAGAAATATGCAGCTTTTGCTTAGATATGCACAAAACAGGATTTTTGCTATAACTTCAAAGTAATGAATACAACCTAGGTAAAATGACTTTCAAAGTGTTATTTAGCACATTCCCTGCCCCGTCAGACAAAATCACACGGCTACTAACTTGCATTCAAAACATATCACACTTTCCTTTAGAAATCCAGAAATATGCAGCTTTCACTAAGATATAAACAGAACTGGATTTTTACAATAACTTCAAAGTAATGAAGACAACTTAGGTAAAATTACTTTCAAAGTGTTATTTAGCACATTCCTGCCTTGTCACAAAACACAATACTAATACTAACTTGCAGTCAAACGATATAACACTATGAAAATTCCCCAAATCACTGAGATACACATCAAACAGGATTTATGTGTTGCTTGAAAGTAATGACTTAAAACTATAGGTCAAACTGCTTTGAAAGTGTGATTTAGCACATTCCCTGCCTTGTCACAAAGAATCACACTGATACTAACTTGCAGTCAAAAGATTTCACACTATCAAAATTCCCCAAATAACTGAGAAAAACATCAAAAAGCATTTTTGTGTTGCTTGAAAATAATTAATACAACCTAAGTCAAACTGCTTTGAAAGTGTGATTTAGCACATTCCCTGCCTTGTCAGACAAAATCATATAAACAGAATAGAACTGCTACTAACTTAAATTCAAAACATATCACTTTCCTGTATAAATCCAGAAGTATGCAGCTTTTGCTTAGATATGCAAAAAACAGGATTTTTGCTATAAGTTAAAAGTAATGAATACAACCTAGGTAAAATTACTTTCAAAGTGCTATTTAGCAAATTCCCTGCCTTTTCACAAATAATCACACTGATACTAACTTGCAGTCAAAGATATCACACTATCAAATTCCCAAAATCACTGAGATAGACAAAAAAGGATTTTTGTGTTGCTTGAAATAATGAATACAACCTAGGTAAAATGACTTTCAAAGTTTTATCAAGCACATTCCCTGCATTGTCAGACAAAATCACACAGCTACTAACTTGCATTCAAAAGATGTCACACTATCAAAATTCCCAAAATCACTGAGATAGACAGAAAAAAAATTTGTGTTGCTTTCTGGATTTCTACTGGAAAGTGTGATATCTTTTGACTGAAAGTGAGTGCAAGTGAGATTTTGGTTGTGAAGTCATGGAATGTGATGGAGAACACTTCCAAAGTGATTTGAACAAGTTTTGAATCATTCCTTTCAAGTTACACAAAAATCCTGTTTGATGTATAGGTCTTGCATTTTTGGAAGTTTCATAGTGTGATATCTTTTGACTGCAAGTTATTACCAGTGTGATTCTTTCGGACAAGGCAGGGAATGTGCTATACAACACTCTGAAATTTATTTGGCCTAGATTGTTTTAATTACTGGGAAGTTATAGCAAAATCCTGTTTTGTGCATCTCTTGGTGAATAGAGCTTATTTCTGGATTTCTACTGGAAAGTGTAATATCTTTTGACCGGAAGTGAGTGCAAGTGAGATTTTGGTTGTGAAGTCATGGAATGTCATGGAGAACACTTCCAAAGTGATTTGAACAAGTTTTAAATCATTCCTTTGAAGTTACACAAAAATCCTTTTTGATGTATATTTCTTACATTTTTGGAAGTTTGATACTGTGATAAATTTTGACTGCAAGTTATTATCAGTGTGATTCTTTCTAACAAGGCAAGTAATGTGCTAAACAACACTCTGAAAGTTATTTGTCCTAGATTGTTTTAATTACTGGGAAGTTATAGCAAAATCCGGTTTTGTGCATCTCTTGGCGAATAGAGCTTATTTTTGGATTTCTACTGGAAAGTGTGATATCTTTTGACTGAAAGTGAGTGAAAGTGAGATTTTGGTTGTGAAGTCATGGAATGTGATGTGGAACACTTACAAAGTGATTTGAACAAGGTTGGAATCATTCCTTTGAAGTTACACACAAATCCTGTTTGATATTTATGTCTTGCATTTTTTGAAGTTTCATAGTGTGATAAATTTTGACTGCAAGTTATTACCAGTGTGATTCTTTCTGACAAGGCAGGGAATGTGCTAAACAACACTCTGAAAGTTATTTGGCTTAGATTGTATTTATTACTGGGAAGTTATAGCAAAATCCTGTTTTGGCGAATAGAGCTTATTTCTGGATTTCTACTGGAAAGTGTGATATCTTTTGACTGAAAGTGAGTGCATGTGAGATTTTGGTTGTGAAGTCATGGAATGTGATGTAGAACACTTCCAAAGTGACTTAAACAAGTTTTGAGTCATTCCTTGGAAGTAACACAAAAATCCTGTTTGATGTATATCTCAGTGATTTATGGAATTTTGATAGTGTGATATCTTTTGACTGCAAGTTATTACCAGTGTGATTCTTTCTGAGAAGGCAGGGAATGTGCTACACAACACTCTGAAAGTTATTTGGCTTAGATTGTTTTAATTACAGGGAAGTTATATTAACATCCTGTTTTGTGCATCTCTTGGCGAATAGAGCTTATTTCTGGATTTCTATTGGAAAGTGTAATATC